GGGTAGGAGTTGGGGGTAATGATAGGCAAAGAGAGATCGAGAAAGTGGATGAAGGTCCAGGTGTGTGAGAGCTGGGCTAGCTTATCAGTATGTGTTAGAGAGAGAGAGAGAGAGAGAGAGAGAGAGAGAGAGAGAGAGAAGCACTATTAGTCTTTTTGATGGATTATTGCTGTGTTGGAAGAACAAAGGGCAGCATCCAAAGAATCTTGGACAAGAAAGGCATTGATGATTAGGGTCCCCATTTGGGTAAGGAAGCCTCTTTCCCTCCAAATTAGAATATGCAAATGAATTATGTTATGTTATGAGTCTGACTATAGCATAACAGAGGAATCTTTAGCCAGTGTTAGGGCTTGCTTTAGGATAGTGAATTTAGCTTGTTGGGAAATGGCACCTAGGGTTAGAGGTTTTGCTTTGATGAGGGTGTATGTTGTGGAAGTTAGGGAGGCCTTGGATGATGGCATAATTGGAGGCATAGGAGGTGATTTTGGGGAGCTCCTGTATAGAAGCCAAACTGGGATTTGGGGGGGGGGGTCTGTGAGTGAGGTAAAGGAAATGTGCAGGAGGGGGTTGAGAGAAAGACTTAGTATCTGTGTGTAAATGTGGGGGAGTAGTTGAGGCACAGTGGCAGTGTGGGTTGGAAGGACAGTGGCAGAGGTGAGGGTAGGAAGGGGTTCAAGGATAGAGTCAAGAAGCTAGGTATGGAAGGTTTGGACCTGGGAGGATGATAAAGTGAGGAAAGCTTGGTGTCTGAGATCTGAGCTCGAATTATAGTTAATAGATCATGTGAAGAAATTTTGCTAGCTTCTGGGATGATGAGGGCAGCAGCATTCAGGATGTGTAGACTGGGTAGCCATCCCTTTGTAACAAGATCTAGTTGTTTAGAAAGATATACACAGGATTGTAGGTATCTCCTGCTCATTGGCAGAGCCTGGCCCTGATGAGCATGGAGGGACAATTGGGTAGTGATAAGGTGGATGCTTGAGCTAAGGTCTGTTCAAGCGCTTGATGGGGTTTGAGGTGGGAACAAGGAGGGGCTCTTCTGAAGAGCCCCTAATAGTCTTGTATAGCAGTTGGGCAATGAGGGCAAAGTTGGGGATCCATATTCAAAACAAAAAAAGACCTAACGGGCATCATATCAACTTCTTGGTGGCTTGTGTGAGATAGTTCAAAGGGATAGTCTTATGTCAACTTGTCATAAGCCATAGTCATTTGAGAGGAGGGAAACTGTATTGAAAAATGCCCCCATAAGATCAGTCTGTAGGAAAGCCTGTAAGACATTTTTGTTTTTAGTGCACCTGTGGGTGGGGCCACCCTTGGGCTGGTGGTTCTGGGTTCTATTATAATAAAGCAGGCTAAGCAAGCCAAGAGGAGCAAGCCAGTAAGCAGCATTCCTCTATGGCCTCTGCATCAGCTCTTGCCTCTGGTTACTGACCTGCTTGAGTTCCTGTCCTGACTTCCTTTTGTGATGAACTGTGATATGGAAGTGTGAGCCAAATAAACCCATTCTTCCTTAAGTTGCTTTAATCATGGTGTTTTATGACAGCAATAGTAGTCCTAACTAGGACATGTGGTCAGGGGAAATTGATAGGGCCTATGTGAAAGAGAGAGGCTTAGGCAGCTCTAGGTGAGTTGGCATATTTTGACCCTAGAGACACGATACCCCAAGTAATAAGGTGTTGAAGAGAGTATATACAAACACGTGTACACATATGTCATTATATATAACATATATGCATATAAAATATGTAGTCATTTTTGAATACATGAAAATTTTCATAATAAAAATTTCATAATAAAAACAAAGGGAAAATAACCAGTCACAGCTCACTTCTTCTGGTTTCACTTTTATTTCTCTCTAGTCTAACAGGATGTTGTTACTTGAGCATAAATCTTCCAGCCACTATGTGGGAACATAATTCCCGTGTAATTAAGCACTTATCTCCTTCCCAGCACACAGACATATCTCTGATAAGTCTGAGATATAAGACCAAATCAGAAAGACTTCCAATAGAGTTAGAGAGAAGGTTAGATTTACTACTTTGTTGATTTAATCAATCCAGAAGGCCACCATGAGGAATTTGGATATAATAAAGATAAGAATGAAAACGCGATTAGGAAAGGAGATTACTTTTCAAAAGATAAAGGCAGTAACTTTAAAGCTAAAGAAGATATTTCCCTTGTCTTCCACCAATAACAAAGCAACTTTGTCATTGTTGGTTTGTTCTGTTTGGCTGTCTTTCATTCTGGTCCTACCTCATTCTGGTCTACTGTAGGGACCTGCTATGTGATCATACAGAACACAACTTCAGTCACATGTAGAATTATCTGTCTGGTTTTCTCCGCACTTCTATGCTACAAGCTTGGTGAGGACTCAGCTTTTAGTTTATCTGGGCCCTGGTGCTTGATGTAGGGTGCTGTTATCAAACTTTCCCAGGTCAGTATCAGCTCTGCATGTTACCCTTTATGTACATTTCTCAACCTCTCGGCACTTTCAATTTGTCAGTGACAAAGAGGAGTTACGGTAGTACAAGTTCAGATGTGAAGATTAACAAATCTAGTTGTAGTTCAGCCATCTCAGTGTCTGGTACACCACACAAGCTAAGCATCCTTAACTCTGAAAACTTCAAATCCCAGGTCTTCCAAAATCTGAAACATTTGGGAGCATCAACAGCAAACTCCACAGCTGACTACACACATGGAAGTTCAGAGTCAAACTATAGGCATGGAGGCTGGAGAGATGGCTTAGAGGTTAAGAGCACTTACTGTTCTTCCAGAGAGACCAGGTTCAATTCCCAGCACCCACATGGCAACTCATGGCTGTAACTTTAGTTCTAGGGTACCCAACACCTTCATACAGATATAAATGCAGGCAAAATACCAATGCACATAAATAAAAAAGAGATTAAAAATATATAGGCATAGAACACAGAATTTTTTTCAGCCTTCCCAAGGGGGGAAATACCCACTATCCCTGTTAACTGAAATACATAAACTGTTTCATGCACAAAATTATTTACAACATTGCTTAAAGCACCATCCAACTATGCTTGTAAAGTGCATGAAACAAATGAATTTCATGCTCATGATTGATCCTCATGATATCTCATATATATGCAAACATTCTATGCCCCACCCCCAATATGAATCAAAAATATGAAACTTCTTGTCTCAAGAACTTAGATAATGAAACAGTAAGTTCAATAAAACACAATGAGTATTATGTACTACCTCCTACACTGTGATCGAAAAGGAACCCAAGTTGAAATAAAAGGAAGGAAATAAGTCTCATAATATAGTTTTTAGTGATTCAGTTTCGTAGCCAATGCTCAGGAAATGTGTGGAAATAGACTCCTGAACTGAAGTTACAGTGTCTGTACTGAGAAGTTTGATGGCCTAGTGTGGTGTTTTATCTCCCCTCCTGCCTTAGAATTGGGACCTATGAACAAACCAGGTCTTGGGGTTTGAGACATTTTGCTGGTACCCTGAGAAGTGGAACTTATTTAGCTAGCATGTTTTGAACCTTAACTATGGTGATGGAAGTGGGGATGTAGTGGTGGCAGTTCTAGTCTCTAATTCCCCACTCCCCTCAGGCCCTACCCTGCTACCATGAACAGGGAGGTGGCTCTCCTCTCTTCTAGAGAAATGTACTGTTTTTCCAAGTTGCCTCTGAAAGCCATGTCTCCTGATAATTATAACTATGCTTCAGAATATAAACATCACTATACAACCAGTGTCTCCACCAAATACCTTTAAATCTTAAAATTCATATGTATTTTATATCTGAGGTCATATGATGCTTGAACTTTAAGAGACTTGTCATTTGGGATAAGGTAATTGGTAAAAACAGATACATTTTCACACTGAAAATGTCAATCATTCTAATTAATAAAAACTGTAACATCTTGAGGCTTGATCTAACTTCATGTGACATGTCATAGTCCAAGCACAGACCTACCACGCAGATCTATTCAGCATTTCCAAGGCAGAGATAAGGCACCCAGCCACTTAACTGTAATATATAATTTTTCTCACACATGAAATTATCCAAACATTGCATAAAATTACCTTCCGGTTATGTGTATAATGAGACAGAAACATTCATATTTGTCCTATTTTATTTCTGAAATATTATGGTTTGATAGACTATAGAACATAAACTGAATTTATTCTAAAAAACCCTGTAGATTCATTAGAAGGATTACTTACCAAAATAGATAAAATGAAGTAAAAAAAAAAAGGACTAGAAATAAAGAAAAACACAGATCTTTGAGAAATCAAAGTAGCATAACACAAATGTTCACGGCAATAAACTTTATAAATTGCTCACCATGTAATACTGAAATATCTAGAACTTTTTATCTATATGTGACATAAGGTGATGCTATAATGGAGAATTGGTACACATTCTCAGAATACAAAACTTCAGAGAAAATGTAGTGGGCGCTACAGAGCCTAGTAAGTATTGTGTGTAATTAACTACACATTTCAAAGTTACATTTCTTAAAAAATAGTAACTCTGGACTTTTGAAATGCAAAAGAATGGAATGTTGGCAACTTACACAGAGACCAGAAATTGCTTTGCTTGTTAGTGGTATTTCTCAGAAACAAAAACCATCAAAAGAGTTTATATTTGAGCTTGTACAGTCTGTTAGCATACCCTCGTGTTCCCTCTGGTATTGAGCACAGGACTTCACACAGCATGTGTGCCACAGCCGAGCCTCCCCCAACCCCCCACAGCACTGTTCATCTCCATTCTTACATGGGTATAACTTCATTCACTCTTGAGATTCAGTCTAATTTAAACAGTGTAATTAAGTCCATCCCTGACTCCTTAGTGTCAGATGTGCAGAAACAACCCGAGTCTACCAAGTACCAGAAAAGTCACAGATATTTGTAAGAACGCTGAAATTACCAATAGTTTGAAGATAACATTACATTTGGGCAGCTCTTTGAGCAGACAGGAAGCACTACCTGGAAGGACCTTACAGGATTCCCCTTATCTCCTGCTATCTTGCTAGCCAGCATTCCTCTCAAGGCCCAAGCTTCTGTGTGAGGCCCACAAGGCAAAACTCCTGGTTTGGTCTGAAGGCCAGGGTTTCCTTTCTGAATTTCAGTTTGGAGTCCCAGATTTTAGAAATACTAGCACTGTGCACCCCCTCCCCCGCTCTTATTTGGAAGACCCACCCACCATTTCTTCTCTGCATTGCTTTCCTCTTTCACTCTTTTTCCCAAAACCCTCTTTGAACCGAGATGCCGAGTGGCTCTAGGAAAGCACGGTGTGAAATACATTCTCCAGGGAAAAAGAAGAGGTGGATACAAGAGCATTCTGTCTTTCATGATTCAAAGTATTTTCTGCATCTTGACTCCACACTAAATTAGGAAACTCGTGTCTGGTATTCAGACTCATTCTCGCCACATTTTACAAAGAAAAGGAGACAATTTGAGAGGGAAAGATTATCTTCAAAACAGCAAAATCAGTTTCTGAAAGTTTTAAATGAAGTCCACCAACTCTCAAAAGTCTCAGACTAGCGATTAACGGGCGCAGTGCCCTAAAATGCTCCCGGGTTGTTTTTTCTCAGACTCGGAGCTCAGCTCAGAGGTTCCAGGCCTGAGACAGGTAGCATTTCTTAAGCAGGAAATCCGTTAAATCGGGTGAAACAGAATGCAGGGGGGACAGAGGAGGGAACCCCAGGTCTGGCACAGGTCAAGTGCAAGGGGTGCACATGGGACCTGTAGCCTTCAGGCTGCACATGGAGCCCGGGTTCACGTGGCCGGTGCGTGGACCTGTGGCGCGCGGGTCCCCTCCAATTCCACACGCAGCGTGGCGGCCGGAATACCCCGAGATTGGGCGCGCGGGGTCGGCGTGCTGCTTACCTTGACGGCTGGGGTGCGCGGGCTGCGCCCAGAAGCGCGGGGCTGAGCTGAGATGCACCGGGTGGCCACAAGATGCTGTGAAATGCACCGGGCTGAGCCGAGCTGAGATGCGCGGTTGTCACCCCTGGGTTGAGACGGCCTGGAGCGGAGGACGTGGGCTCGGGGAGGAAGTGCTGTGAGTCCTGCCCTCCCCGCGCAGACTCGCCGCTTCGCACAGAGGTGCTTGCCGAGCTCCTGTGAGCAGACAGACTCAAAGCCCCGCCTCTGGAACTCCGCAACTTTGGCAAGTTTGGGCCGCTTCCCCCAGCCCCTTTCTCCCACATTGAAGAAAACACTTCCCGCCCTAAGGTTAGGGAAAGCCGCTCCTTCTCTCATCCATGTGGCGGTCTTTGTGTTCTATGAGATAAGGACTAAGATTAAGGCCCAGATGCTCGTTTGAGGGTTTAATGATCGAAGTCTCAGGCTAGCTGAGACACTCCCTACCGGAGAGTTCACCGGCTGATAACACCTACAGGCAGTTAGGGCTGGGACGCTCTGGACGAATCAATCCCCGTTATATTTACAACTTTGAGACTTCAGGGCAACAGATGTGAAGATGGAACCATTCACCTCAAAAGTTCCCCTTTCTGCCCTGGGAAACCCTCGAGCCCCCCGTGAGCTTCCGCTCACTCTCCACTTCCCCCAAGCCTACCGTCCTTTATTGCTCTAATGAAAGGATGCTGCTTCTGTTGAGATCGGTCTCCTGTATCTTTTATTTTCACATCGCCTGGATCAATTCTGGTCCAGTAAATTCCACAGAAAGTGAAGAGGCCAGCTTATTTTGCAATAACCTTTTATGTCTTTACTGCAGCCCTTGCTGAACTTCCTCTATCCAGCTAGCGTCATACTTCCTGGGCCAGCTCGGCATGGGACGCTCCAGAGAGGGTAGACAGAGGACTGCTGGTCCAGTGCGATGGACCAGAGCACAGAGTCTTCCTTGGTGGAGGTGGAGGAAGGCCTCAGCAGGGGGCCGTTCTCAGCCATCTCTGATGCAAATGGGAAGGTCCTAAGAGGTTTATTTTATTTTATTTTTTAGACAGCGTGACGCTGTGTTATACTGGTTGTCCTAGAACTTGCAACGTAGATCAAGCTGCCTTCCAACACACAGAGCTCCTCCTGCTTCTGCCTCCTGAATACTGGGATTAAAGGTTGTGCCACTATGCCTGGCTCCTGGTTTTTGTTCTTTTTTTGTTTTTCCATAGTTTGTATAACATAGGATTTACTGGTACTCACTTCTGAGACAAAGTGTTTGGGTAGATTTGAAAATACAGACACTAAAATCAGTTATGATTTTAAACGTTGATTGAATTAATCGCTCTTCCTCTACACAGCTGTGTCTTTAAGGGTTTGCTGTAGGGCAAAGTGGTGGAGACATGAAGACATAAATCAGACACATAAATTTATTTCACATAAATTAATTTCCTGTATTCAATAAGAAATTGTGTATTGCTTGTCTAAGAACAATGTAAACCGCAGTGTTGAAAACAATCGCTGCTTTGCTAGATGGCACACTCTACTTGGCAGAAAACAGTCAATACGATTATTTAACATGCTGAGGAATGTTTTTTGAGAAAATAAAAGGTAAAAGATAGAGTGTAATGGTTGTGCTGGTAGGTTTCTATGCTAATTGGGGTAATGGAAAAAGATTACCTTATGACTGACACTTGACTGACACAGATCTAAATGACAGGAAGGATCCAGTGATGTTAGTTTTACATGAGACTATCTCTAAGGGATGACACCTCCTAAAGTCTTGAGTTAGGACAGCCTTTGAGTTACTGTAAAAACAGTGAAGAAACTACTAATAGTATGGCTTTGGCAGGGTGAGGAGAACAGAAAGGAGATGAGATTGCAGAGGAAAAGATGGCCAGATGATGTGTCACTTTGCAGGTTGTCATAGAGATCGATATGAATGAGATAGGAAGCCATTGAGAGGAGCAGAAAGCAAAAAACAGGCAATAGAATGGAGAGTGATCTCCTGAAAGAGGAAATAATGGTCAGAGAGTTCTTTTTGGCAATGAGAAGACAAGGGCCAGCCATTCAGAAGCTGGAAAAGCATTCCAAGAAAAGATCATTGGATTGTGTTGAGTCAAGAGCAGAAGGTTAGGAAGGTGTCAGGGCTGGAGCAGCGTGAAAGAGGCTAGCGGTAGTAGACGATAAGGACAAAAGTGTGAGCAAGAGCCAGATCAAGCAGGATCTTGTGATCAGTGCAGAGGACTTTGGGCTGTATTGTAATTGCAATGGACAGTCAGTAGAAGGGATATAGCAACCAGGTACTGGTTTGATTTATGCTAGAAGCCTACATACAGACCAGTGAGTTGTTGGGAAAACAATTGAATGGGAATAAGAATAATAATAAGAAGAAGAATAAGAATAAGAATAAGAAGAAGACGGCGACGACGAATAATAATAATAATAATAAAATAATAATAATAATAATAATAATAATAATAAGAGATAGAAAAGAAAGAGGGAGGGAGGAGGGAGAGAGAAGATTATGAATGGATTTAAACTAATTTTCCCCCTTAGTAGTTTGTGGCAACAGTTTATATGAAATGGTTGAAAATGATGGTAGCTGAACAAAATGTGTAGCTCAAGCCTATAATCCCAGTGCTTGGGAGGTTAAGGGAGGAGTGTTGTAGGTTCAAGAGTATCCTGGAGTACATACAATTTTACCACAGAAAGAAAAATAAGGGGCTGGAGAGATGGCTCAGTGGTTAAGAACACTGGCTGGTCTTCCAGAGGTCCTGAGTTCAATTTCCAGCAACCACATGATGGCCCACAGCCATCTGTAATGAGATCTGGTGCCCTCTTCTGGATGTAAGGATACATGCAGACAGAACACTGTATACATAATAAGTAAATAAATCTTAAAAAAGAAAGTATTAACATTAAAATAATGGTAGCTTATTTGAATGGTATTCAAATAAGTTGTGATTTGCTGATGGGCTCAGAGCAGAGATGGGGGATGTCAGGGGTTAAAGAACTGTGATGGAGTCTCTTGTGGCTCTGGGACTAGGACAGAGGCTAGTGTGTATAAAAAGGTAAGTAGGGACCACTCAAGCCAGTCAAGCCAAAGATTTGTCTTCAAATCCTAAGTACAACGAAAATCTGTTAAATAAGACTCGAAGCTTCACATTGAAGGATTGTGTTCTAGAAAGAAATCACACGGGAACTGCTAACATGAAGAAAAGAATGGATGCTGGAAGATGTCCAAAAAGTTGGGAAAGAAATAATAATGACTTTGTTTGTTTGGTAGCCATGGAAACACAAATAAACGGATGCATCAGGAAGATATTTACAGGCTCTGTTGGCAGGAGTCTATGATAACTGGACATGAGCAGAGTGAAGGGGAGGGAATGGTAAGGCTGGATCCCAAGAAGATGTTCCTGTTATGATGGTTGACAGTCACAAGGTGAGGAAATCTGGAGAGGACTCTGGTCAGGAGAAGGTAACGAAATTTATTTTGAGCAGGTCAAGTGTGGTAAGTCTTTGGCAAAACTAAGTGGACACATGTCTGTACCAAAGAGGAAAAGCTATTGATAAGTGGAACATATACAAATCTCAAAAATGCTGAAAGGACTCTGGGTAAGTGGCCCTGCTCTGAGGCATCTGATGCCAGGGGTCTGCTCCCGGGATCTGAGCTCAGCAGCAAGAAAGAAAGAAATCAGAGAAATCATCACCCTTACAATTGCCACAAACAACATAAAATACCTTGGGGTAACACCAACCAAAAAACGTGAACCCACCATAAGAATTTTGAGTCCCTAAAGAAAGAAATTAATGAAGATACCAGAAAATGGAAAGATCTCCCATGCTCTTGGATAGGTAGGATCAACATAGTGAAAATGGCAATCTTGCCAAAAGCAATCTACAGATTCAATGCAATCCCCATCAAAATCCCAACACAATTCTTCACAGACCTTGAAAGAACAATTCTCAACTTTATATGGAAAAACAAAAGACCCAGGATAGCCAAAACAACCCTATACAATAAAGGAACTTCTGGAGGCATCACCATGCCTGACTTCAAGCTCTATTACAGAGCTATGGTCCTGAAAACAGCTTGGTATTGGCACAAAAATAGACAAGTAGACCAATGGAATAGAGTTGAAAACCCTGATATTAACCCACACACTGCCAAACACCGGATTGTTGACAAACAATCTAAATTTATATGTTGGAATAAAGAGAACATCTTCAACAAATGGCGCTGGCATAACTGGATGCTGGCATGTAGAAGACTGCAGTAGATCCAAGTCTATCACCATGCACAAAATCCAAATGGATCAAAGACCTCAACATAAATCCAGCCACACGGAACCTATTAGAAGACAAAGTGGGACACACCTTTGAATGAAGTGGTACAGGAGACTTCTTCCTGAACATTAGCACAGACACTGAGATCAACAATTGATAAATGGGACCTCCGGAAACTGAGAAGCCTCTGTAAGGCAAAGGACACTGTCAGCAAGACAAAATGACAGCCCACAGACTGGGAAAAGATATTGATCAACCCCACATCTGACAAAGGGCTGATCTCCAAAATATACAAAGAACTCAAGAAGCTAGTCTCCAAAACACCAAACAATCCAATTAAAAAGTGGGGTACAGAACTAAATAGACAATTCTCAATAGAGGAATCTAAAATGAACCAGCCATTAGAGAGTATTCAACATCCTTAGCCATCAGGGAAACGCAAATCAAAACAACTCTGAGATACTATCTTACTCCTGACAGAATGGCTAAAATCAAAAACATCAATGACAGTTTATTGACAGTGGAGAACTCAACGATGTTCATAGCAGCACTATTTGTAATAGCCAGAAACTGGAAGCAGCCTAGATGTCCCTCAACCGAAGAATGGATAGAGAAAATGTGATACATTTACACAATGGAGTACTAATCAGCAGAAAAAAAACAATGGAATCTTGAAATTTGCAGAAAAATGGATGGAACTCGAAGAAACCATTCTGAGCAAGGTAACCCAATCACAAAAAGACAAACATGGTATGTACTCACTCATATGTGGATTTTAGACAGAGTAAAGGATTATCAGCCTATAATCCACACTGCCAGAGAAGCTAGTAAAAATGGAGGACCCTAAGGGAGACATACATGGTACCCTGGAGAAGGGGAAAGGATCAAGTTCCCCTGAGCAAATTAGGAGCACGGGAAGGAGGGGAAGGGTGCTAGGAGAATGAGAAGGGGTGAAGAGGAGGGAAGAGGAGGACATGAGGGAGCAGAAAGGTTGAGTCAGGGGAAGAATAGAAGATAACAAGAATGGAGATACCATAATAGAGGGAGACATTTTAGATTTACAGAGAAATCAGGCACTAGGGAAATGTCTGGAGATCTACAAAGATGACACCAGCTAACAATCCAAGCAACAGGGGAGAGGCTACCTTACATGCCTTCCCCTGATAATGAGATTGATGACTGACTCATTTGCCACCCGATAGCCCTCATCCAGCAGCTGGTGGAAGTAGAAGCAGACACCCACAACTAACCACTGAACTGAACTGGAATCCAGATGCAGAGAAGGAAGTGAAGAGTAAAGGGGTCCAGACCGGGCTGGTGAAACCCACAGAAACAGCTGACCTGAACATCGGGGAACTCTTGCTCTCAGACTGATAGCTGGGATACCAGCATGGGATTGATCCAGACCCCAGGAACATGGGTTTCAGTGAGGAAACCTCGGAAATCTACTGGATCTCCTGTTTTAGTTCAGTCCTTATTCCTAGCATAGGTGTGGGCTTTGGGAGCCCATTCCACATAGAGGAATACTCCCTGAGCCAAGACACATGGGAGTGGGCCTAGGCCCTATCCCAAATGATACTATAGACTCTTATGACACCCTATGGAAGGCCTCACCCTCCCTGGGAAGCAGAAAGGATATGTGATAGGTAGGGTTTTAGTTGGGGAGTTGGTAGGGGAGGGCGGGAGGGAGAAGGGAACTGGTATTGTCATGTAATACAATGTCGTTTCTAATTCAAACAAAAAATGTAAAGTTAAAAAAATGCTGAAAGGAGCCATACTATAAAATAGAAAACATTGTGTGATGTTATATAAAATTCTTAAAACTCAACCTCATTGTGTGAAAAGTGGGGAAACAGGAAGGAATATGGAAGGGCTAGGAAGAGGTAGATGTGGTGAACCT